ACCTGGTCTCCAAAAACCACATAGATATTGTCAATCAGAAACTCAAGCATCTTTTTAATGTCAACTTCAGAGTACTTGAGTGTACAATCAGAATGTTTTTTAACAAAATAATTTTGCAAATGACCAATGAAAAGGTAAGTATATTTACGAGTTCCATTTTTATTGAAAAAGCAGCTGTCAATGATATCAAAAAGCCTGGACTTTAATTTATCGTGGGGAATGGTTGTGTATAAAGTTGAAAAGTTGTAAGTTTTTAAGCTGTTGATTTTGGTAAAATCTTGTGATTTCAAATTTTCCAAAAGTTCCTTGGAATTTTTAAGAATCCACATCTGATTTACACCACTTCTCGAATATATTGTTGCACAGTACTCTTGAAGTTTCTCTTTCACCACTGTTAATATCTTAGTGAGGAGTAAAGATAGAGGCTTGGTTGAACATTTACTGGAACCCGCTATGTATCTTTGTTTGTAAGGATTTTTATGAAGTTTCGGAATCCAATATAAATATAGTAATTCGAATTCATTTTGGTTGTTTGGAATATTAAAAATATTCAAAACTGACATATGATTTTGAAGAATTTCTTCCTTAGAAAGGGAACTATGAGTATAAGTTGGATTTCCACTTGTAGAATTAAATCCAAGTTCCTCTAAAATACATTTAATATAATGAGCCTTACAAACAAAGACGATGTTGTTACCTGCTTTGTCAGCAGGTACGTGCTGATCATGTAATCTATCTAATTCTTTTTTCACTTCTGGATTATTGAACACAGAAGGATAGATGGTTTTCATATTGCCTCTCAATCTTTTAATACGCGATTTTAACATACATGCTGAAACTAAAACTTAAACTGGAGCCATTGATGGAAATCGGGGGAAATTCCGGAAAAAATATGAAAATTGCCAAAAAAAGTTTAGGGTCAGGGGTATAAAATAGGGAAGGTCGGGTAACCGGAACCACACATATTTTTTTTATTTGGCCTAATGTAAATTTCTTTAACCATAATATATCCTCACAATGTAAATACTGAAATAATATTCAGAGTATGTAGACTTATTGATTCTTATATAGTTTTGTGTATTTGTTACTTACAAATTTAAACATGTGGTGACAACCAAATTATATAGTTGTTTTGTAAAAACCTATAACAAGTTGAAAAATTCAAAGACAAAATATACAGATAAAATGGATTTTTTAAAAATAATAATGTATCCAAAACCATTAGATATGCCAGAATACAAGAAGTATATATGTACCCAAATAACTAAATATTTCTGGAAACAAAACGGTCATTGTGATTTGTCAATAATGTGTCTTGAAACATTTTTTTGGGTATGCAAAACTAGAAACAAAGACCTTTTTTGATCTCGAATGTTGATCAATATAAGTGCTTGGGAAAAAATCGAGAAAAATTGTTTAAAACGGGTCTTCAGACAATTAAGAAATATACGTAACGATAACATCTCGAAAATGACAGGTAAAAAGTGATAAATCGTTTAGTCACTAAAGGCTACAGATGTATCCCAGTTAACGTTAATCACCACATGATAATAACGAATCTAAAAAAAAAGAGCATATGTTGTCGTAGAGTACTCCTGAGTACATTCTATTATAACCATTCTTTCTTACGTAAAATAACGTCTGTCGCAAATAGAAGATAAGATTTTTTAATCTCCTGAATTATAAACAGTTAATTATATATCATATTGTTTACTCAACTTGTCGTTGCAAAAAAAAGGTTAAAATATCACGCACCTGCAGATCAGTAAATTCGAGCTCACGGTGTAGAACCATACAACAATGATGCTAATGTGTTTCCTTTTGGCGGTAAGAATCCTGTGCTTTTTACTCATGACCAATTAAATACTTGTTACATTTTGGGAAAGTCTGATTGTGTATTTGATGTGATTTATAAGGGTATTCAACATTCAACTTACTCTCAGTTTTCAGTATGATCTGTTAAGCTTCTAAATAATAATTATTTCAAAAATATGTCAATGAATAGATAACACAGTCTTATACATTGCAGCATGTACAATCATTATGTTCTCTGAGAACCTACTCACAGGGTACGGAAGCGTAAAGGTCTCTACACTTGTTGTGTTATATTTGTGTACATTGTCTTACTTTTTATTGTCTTATCAATATATAATCTGTTATGACTTCTTATTTTTATTCATATGTTGTTTTGTATCTGGGTATTTTCCTATAATTTAAAGCGTCTTTTCTGTGTGATGGATTTTACTGCTAAAAGTTATATCAACTTAAAAAAATATCGATATGAAAAATATTGATTTAAGCATGAAAATTAAAGATATCGATGTAGTTATTTCGACACACACAATAAAATTATATGCATAAGAGTTAAATTGATATAAATATGCTAGTATTTCTAGGGGGAAAATTTGAAAATATTGTTCTCCAGCTAACTTCGCGGGAGCGGGAATTTTAATGAAACGTCACATCTCTCAGATTTATTGATGGCACATGCACAATGTCACGGTGTCATGTGTAAAGTGTTAAATATTTGTTGTATAGTTATAGAGAAAAACAAATTAAAGAAGAAGGGGGTGAGAGGAAGGTGATTAGTTGGCCTCCCCCCTTGAAGTAAATATCAATTATAATCAAATCATTCTGATTTATGAGAAATGAAATGTACTAGTATATGCATGTCTAGTAATAATTTGATATTTTTCTTATTAATAAATAAAAATCGTCCAGCTCTCTTTGAAATAAAAAAAGTATGCATAACAAATATGCTGTGACTTAAAAAAATTAAGGACAGCTACCCCTTTCCCATCGTTTCTATGTTCCATACATAAATACTTTTAGTACTTGTCCTATTTGTGGATGAAGCGAAAGTAGAATGTAAAATATTATGAAAGTGACACAGGTTATGTACTCTGTAAATACTTAATGTTTTATCATTCTGTGGTTAACATAGTACCCCGAACTCAAAAAATTAAGCAGTGACTCATGGTAAAATATATATATATATATCAGATAAAAATTAACTATCAGCACATCAGATCTAAGTGTAACTTCTAATTACTTAAAATAATCTAAAATAATCTGTGCTTCATTGCTGCCAATTAAAAGAGGGAACGGGTGGGGTCAGCCAAATAAATTATATCACAAGGAAAAAAATCAGAGATTTAATTATCCAACTGCGAGTAATTTCTTTATTATTGGGTTATTTTCGCGGATCTCTACTCAGGGTTAAAAAAAGCTTCAGAAGGGGCACAAAGATACTCTTGCCTCTCCCCCTCTTCAAAAGTGGTTATAGTACAATAAATAACACCCTCTGACTATGCCTATGATCTAACTGTTTATTTCTCTCCATCTCCTTTTTAAAAATATTTTTGAATATGTATCATCCTATAATCGAATACGATAGCAAATACATGGTACAGGAGCTTTCACTGAATCCCGAGTGAAGTACTAGTGAAGATTCATACGAATTCCCATCCCCGCGAAGTTAATTCAACAATAATATTTTCTCACTTTTTCTCGGAAATATTCATATCTTTATATCGATATAACTACATATTTATTTTTACATATCGACATTACTTTATTAATAGGATTAAGTATCTTGCTCTGATCAATATCTTAAAATCAATATTTTTTAAGTCGATAAAACTTATAGCAATGAAATCAATCAAATAAAAGAAGGTGCCTTAAATTATGTAAAAAATATCTAAATACAATTCAAAATATATGTATAAATAAGGAGTTATTACACTTTATATGTTGACAAGACAATAAAATATAAGACAATATACAAGTTATAACACAACAAGTGTAGAGCCCTTTACGCTTCCGTACACAGACGCTGGTTAGAGTGACTAATAATAATATCATGTAATATTGTAAAAATAATTGTTATAAGCAATGTGTACTCAGGTCAAGGAGAAAGATCTTCAATACTTTGTAAAAAAAAAAATTCTATTGATTACCATTCCCCAAAAACCTGTATCATTCTCCAGACCAAAAACTGATATCTTGCTTAACGAGGTTCGCTCCTGAGCTTTTGAGCAGATTTTTATTTCAACCTATATTTAAAAAAATCTACTTAATGTTTTAATTCTTACAATAAAAATGGATTCTACAATGCCAAATAAACTATATTCAGTTAAAACTCCATGATTAAATTCCATACCAAAAGCTTTAAGTGAGGAACTATATTTTGTGGCGGAAGGTTTTTTTAAGAAGAAAATGATCATTTTTTCTCTTTCGAAGTATTTAAAGTATGTTAAGTTTGGATTCCTATTTTTACATGCAATCTGCACACAGAATTATTTTGTGCAGTGAACTGTTTTATACTGGTCCTAAATTATATATTTAATAAACTGTCATGAATTCAATCATCATATTTGATAAATAAATCAAATATATTATGAAAATCAAGAAAAAAAAGCCCTAATTTAAGCTCAATGTTAGCACTATTTTAGTAATATCTAAAAATTCACATAACAGACCCCCACTTTTAACTTTCTTTTCTGAATATACACGATACTTTTAACCATTCTTCTTAAATTCAGTAAAATGTCATTACTTTTAAATGAGTTTTTTGCTTGTTAAATTTGTAATGCTAGCAAAATGAAATTTTTTGAGTGCAAAAAGGTCAAATAATTGAATGTGCGGAGTAATTAAAAAAAAATTTCATTGTCAAAAATTTTAATGGGTCTATTCAAGATGAAATAAAACTGTGTTTGTTCCCTTAACTTATTTGAATAAAAAATATCGGAGGAAAAACTTTAAAAAATGATTTATGTGTAAGACGTTTTTAGAGTGCAAAAAGGTCAAACTAAATGCTCTGTAGCGCCAAAAGAAGCGCATTGACCCCAATTTTTTGTTTTGATTTTTAATTAAGCTATGTGTATAAATTCTAAAAATATATTTGATTAAAAATTCTCATTACTTTTGATGTCAGGATCCAACCTCCTTAATAAGAATAGTATATGCAGTAGAGAGTTTTTACCTTGGCTTATTTTTGACAGATTTTTCTCCAACAAAGTCTTGCAGTTCAATACAATACAGAACAATTAAGAAGTCTATTGAGTTATGGTAAGAATACTTAATACAGTGGCTAAGAATTTTATTTGTAATTGAGAGTTTCATCACCATTATTTAAGTTTCCAAATGCTGTAAAATGTAAAAAAAAAAAAAAAAAAAAAAATATCAGAAAACAGATCAATGGTAGAAGTCAGGATAATGTTTTCTATATGGTTGATTTACTTATTATATTCCAATGTGTGTAATTTTTTCAATTATTTCTTCTTCGTTTGGAACGCTATCAGTGGTTTTAATACATGTAATTTTAGAAATTAAGTACTCAGTGATTATCTGTTTATCTTAAGTTCTTGATTTCATTATTATATCAAAAGCATAAATATGGCTTAACTTACATGTAATGCCCTTAAACAGTACCACCTACATGTACTTTCAAAACACATGTACGTCATCTATTCAAAAATAGTTATGAAATATATGAAGATAACGAACAGTGTTTAAGCTCAAAATTCCATTCAAACAATACAAATCATACGGGCCTTTAAGACATCAAAGGTGGGATCAGGTGCCATGGAGGAGTGAGCATCCTGCCGACCGGTCTCACCTGCTGTGTGCACCTTGTCATGATCGGGAAATAACGTAAAAATCCGTCGATAATTCAGTGTGTAAATAATGGCCTAACAATGAGTATGAAATACGTCAGTCAGCATCTGACTTAGTGATAGATTGTATTGCTGAATTATTTGTTTGTGATAATAATGACTGGTACACATATATATAAAACTACTGCCTTTAAGTCTTTAACATATATAATATGCTTCTAAGTTCACAAACATTTCAAAAATAAATTTCTCATCTTGTGTATTGGTATTTTATGAGTATGGATCATATTTTCTTTTTCCTGAGATTGTTCCTCCGATGGAAGTATAGACGTCAGAGGTGTTCCGGATGGCTACACTGTCACCGTTATAAGTACAGGCTGTACAGTTTATCTGACTTCTCCAGGGGTGTATAACATTCCTTCTATGTGCAAGGTAATTATTCTGAGACGAGATACTATTTAGTTGAAACTAGAGATACTTTGAACACTGAGCTCACAAAATGATACCCCAGTCTCATAGGAGTATAATGGTAAAGTTCATGTTTTGCTAAGGAGAACCATAAATATCTATCCGATCGAAACGAAAAATAGAAGGTGCAATATGGCACTATCTTATAAAGATTCTGTGAAAGTTTTATTAAATTTTATTCAGTGGTATATATAGGAGGAGTTGCGGATAAGAGGTGGGTACCTCCTAGTGTCACGGACCACAGGCACTTGTTTCGATAATAAATTTTTTACCTTGTCTTATAGCATAATTATTATACTATGGGTTAAAAATTTATTATCAAAACAAGTGCCTTTGTCACGGACGTAGGGAAGGACAGATACTCCCATCACTATATACATGTATCCTCCCCTTTTCAAGTGAAGGGGGTATTGTAAAGTAAATTTTAAAACACTTCTGGGTTATATATAAATGTTTTAGGCAGAATAACATGTCGTCATCATTGTTATGACGGGATCTTTCAAAATGAAAAGCTAATTGTCAGTTTTTCATTTGTTTCGTTCATTCTTAGTATCTTATCACGTAGAAAAGAGATATGTTGTGCTTATCTATATGTAGATTGGGATTTGAAAGAAATGTAGCTATTGTTTGCTTACTTTTGCACGATTCGAAGTGTTTTCATGGGTCTAAAATATATAAATTCTCATTTTATTTTACAAAATTAAAAAAAAAAAAATACGGCAAATATGAAAGTTTGTCTAATTCTTACAAATTTTGCAATGAATAACTCATCAAAGTATATTTCTCACAATATCATAATAGAACTTTTGTATAATAAGGTTCATGGATTTATTTTTTAATTATAGGGTCTAATTTTAATATAATCGGTTGATTGAAAAAGTCAATATTTGTAGACCTACGACTACTGGGGATATAATCATGGATACCCTACTCACAATTGGTACCAAACTTCAGCCTCATACCCATGGTACTACAGTACTACCCAGAATTATTGGTACCAGTCTAGCACTTCTGATTATTTCGGTGAGGTTGACATTGCTGTATCACATGGGACACACGGCGGGATTGTGGGAGGAAAAGATCACCATGAGTTCCGTTTGATCTGTGACGGTATACATACCAACGGAAAATTGTATAGAGTGTCTGCTGGGATACAAGAAATATCCAAGTAAGATCAAAGGCACCTGACAAATGGTTGGTGACCCCCCCCCCCTCCCTCCTTCTGAGAATTTTTTTAGACACGGTAACTTCGCAAATATACATGACTTCCTAGTCTATCAAATCAATACTTCGTTATTTGGTATTATTTTCGGTTTTGTTAAGTTTTAGAGATTGTCCCATTATTTTTATTTATATAATAAAATATTTTTCCTTGGTAAAGGAGTAAAATAAAATCCACATATATATATATATATATATAAAATTCATTCCACACCTTAGTCCAAGTGTCGTTCCGCCTACACTTTCATACAGACATTTGAGAGCTGGTTACTACAGTTATCCGAGTTTACGTTTAACCAGCAGTGGTGGAAACGACATTTACTACACACATACCGGACAACTGATGTATCTTCTCCTTTCTTCTAATGGTGAGTACAAATGAAATATTTATTTTTCCTGATTTAAGATAATTCAGAATGGATGTAGATTTAATCTTATTAGAACAATTCGCCAGAAAAAATTACCTTTATAATCAAGAATTCAATATAGCCTTAATATTAAAAAGAAAATATATACCAAAAGTATGCATTTCTTAATTTTAAGAGTGTCTATAAGACAGAGAACAATTACCGGTATTTCTTAATTTTCCTAATACCAAATCAATGCTCCAGTAAGACTGCCCTAACAAAGCATTTACTGTCGTTAACTATAGTTAGCTAAAGCAAAAGCTTTGATACTTTGATTTACTATAGAACTTTAATTTTGAACTATTTTTGAGATTTCAAAGCTTAAAATCTCTTATATTCGATCACATTGATTTACAATTTGTAAATAATATGTGCATATACAAACAATTCCATTTTATATATCAAAAAATGTGCATGTTTGAATAGGAGAACATAAAATATAACAATTTGAAATCCCTAGTAAAAATACTTTGGCTTACTATAGTAAAATTTTGATACTATAGTAAACTATATTTAACTATATTGTTTTTTATAAAGAAACTTCTCCTCTATTTACATGCACCACATCCATTGCAAAAGGTTACGCGTTGGGTTAAATAGAAATTGGTGTTTTTTGAATAAATTGTTGCTGTTTGTTCAACTACATATTTAAGAATGAATGTCAGAGGTGTTTTTACATGTATAATGTGGATGCCTTACAGAGTCCTGAAAGTCACAAATCTAGAACTTCAACTAAAAGTATTGTTGGTATTCTATAGTTTTTAAAGAATATCATTCGGATAGGAAAAAAATACGTAAATCCTTTTTTAATTTCTTTGCTGCATAAAAATGAGAGGGAAAAATGTGTTTCCTTTAATCTATTGTGCACATGCTTTAGATTAAATATAGAGATAACGAACAGTATTCAAGCTCAGAGTCCATTTAAAGAAAACAATCGGGAGCAGAGCAAACACGGGCCTCAAAACATAAAAGGGGGTGTGACGGTACATATTGTCTTTTTGTACATATTGTCGTCGGCGACAATATGCACCTATCCTCACTACACATATTATTGTCCATCAGTACATATTGTCGCCGGCGACAATATGTTCGAGACGAACATTATTTTCCTCCTGCATAATGGACGACAAAATGTACAGTCAAGCACCAGCACATTTTGTCGTCGGCGACAATATGTACAGTCAAGGTCGGCATATATTGTCGTCGATATATTGTTTTGACGAATATTTACATGAGAAAGGAAAGAGAGATTGAGAAACACACACACGAAGGGAAACAGACAGCATTACTCGCAATACTGTAGGGAGAAAACTTTTTGATAAAAAAAATTGTGTCCAGGATTGATGTACATCACTATGATATGTCAAGGTACCGTAATTCTTGAGATATCTGATAAATCACCCTATTCTTTTTTTCTTGTAATATATACTTGGACATTGAATACATGTATTAGTTTTTTGTTCAGAAGTAATGATTTTTTGGAAAGTATTTTTTGCGTTTTTCTTATATACAATCATGTGCCGAAATAATTGGTGTTTGGGTTGACATTTTCAGATCACCTGAACTCGAAGTTCAAGTGAGCTTTTCTGATCACACTTTGTCTGACCTCCCCTCTTTCTGTAAACTTTTTCCAATTTCAAGCTTACTCTCAAGAACTACTGGGTCAATTTCAACCAAACTTGTAAAGGGGATTCAAGTTCGTTCCAATGAAGGGCCATACCCTCTTTCAAGGGAAGTAGTTAAAAAATAGTGAAAATTTAGTGACATCTTTTAAAAATCTTCTCAAGAACTACTGTGTCAGAAATGATGAAACTTATGTGAAAGCTTCATTATGAAGTGTAGATTCAGTTATATTCAGATCATGTCCCTCTGGGAAAAGGTGTAGCTACAACAGGTGATCAAAGTTTTTCAAAGAATATTTAGAGAAAATTGTTTCAATTTTTTCCCCCAAGAAGTGTTGGATCAGAAGAGAATACTTAATGTGAAAGCTTCGTTACATAGCGTATGATCAATTTTGAAATGCTGGCACGAAAAAGATCCCTCACTGCTCAATGACCCTAAATGCCAAGTATAGGTCTAAATTTGCAACCCTCCACCGGCAAGTGGTGACGTCTACATACGAATGAAAAATTCTCGAGACGGACATTATAACAATAAACAAACAAAAACAAAATAAATTTTGTTCAAATCATGACCCCAGGGATAGGTTGGGGCCACAATGGGTGACCAAAGTTTTACATAGGAATATATACAGAAAATCTTTAACATTCTTCTCAAAAACCATACAAATATAGCAACGGCGCATCCCCCCCCCCCCCCGCCCTGTGGTTTGATTTTTTTTTCTGCTTTGGTAAATTATGTTTGTGTAATTCGTATATACTCTCAATTTAGTCCACAGGTAAAATTTCATAATTAAACAATTTACTTAACGTCTACAGTAACTCAGTTTACAAATGACTTTTTAATTATTTTTGCTTCTCAAAAAAATTCTGAACCGCCCGAAAGCCCCCCCCCCTCTTTTCGGTCTGAAATTTTTGGATCCACCACTGAGAACAACAGAAGGCCCGTGATTAGTGATGTTTATATGAAAGCATCCTCAGGTAGCGCAGATTCAAGTATCTTCAAATCGGGCCTAGGGTTGGGCAATAATGGGCGATCAAAGCTTTACATAGGAATACATGGGAAATTTCTTTAAAAACATTTTCTCAAAAACAGCAAAGCAATGATTAGTCATATTTATATGGATTGATTGATTGATTATTGTTGTTTAACACCGATTTGGCAATATTTCAGCCGTATTTTGACGATCAAATTAAGTGTATATGACAATTTTTGAAGTTTTTGGTTTCTCTGGCCATATCTATATGGAGTATTGCTGTGCATTGTCATGTGACAAACATATGTTCTGATGGACGACAATATGCGCAGTGAGGGTACGTACACATTTTCGTCGGCGACAATATGAACAGGACGACAAAATGTACCGTCACAATCACGCTGCATGAAATAACATACGAGACATATCAGTGTGATATACACACCAATTACATTCACAAAACTACCAAAAAAAAAAAAAAACAACAACAACAAAAGAAATCTTTAAGCAAAAATACCTGTGGGACGACAATATGTACAGTAAGGGTGAGGCACATAATGTCGCCAGCGACAATATGTGCATGTGTTACTTTTCAGCCGGCGACAGTATGTACCGATGGACGACAATATGTGTAGTGTGCATATTGTCGCCGACGACAATATGTACAAAACGACAATATGTACCGTCACAGGTGGAATCAAGTCCTATGGAGGAGTGAGCATCCGCTGTCGACCGGTTCCTTGTCATGATCGGGTAAACAGGAGAATCCGTTGAAATTTCAGTGTGTATATAATGACCTAACAATTGGTTTGAAAAACGTCAGTCAGCATTTGACCTAATGATAGATCGTATTTGCTATTTGCTGATAAGGTCATTGTATCGACCATAGAACTTGCAAAATGATGACTTCAAAAGAGATAAAAAATTAATTTACACGTGTTAATTTTAAAATAAGAGTAAAACTTTATTTAAAATCTTTACCTATCCAATTTTTGTTTAATAACAGAAAGTTACTTGTGAGATCTGTAAATTTGTAGATCCCCGCTATATTATTCGCCCAGAGAACTGTTCTGCCCAGGATGGCTATAACTATTGGGACTCTAATAAAAGAATTGAACTTTTCAATATCCACCATTCTGGGTAAGTTGATTTTTGATTTTTTGAAGTAAAAAATGTTTTTTAAACAATAAAAATAATTTTAAACAGATAAATGAGGTAAAAATGAAAGAAATGAAGATTTCCATACCCAACTGCATAACGCACCTTTAATGCTATTGTGATCTACAGCTGTACGATCTACGAAATGCGTCCAACTTTAATGAGATTCATGTTTTATTAGTTTATTCTTGTTTATTATTTTTTTTTAAATTTTGGTAATTTTTTTTTCATTTCTTCAATTATTAAAAAATTTCATACCATCCATAACTATATTTTACGAAAGCCGGATAGGCTTATTTTCGACAAGATGAAAAAAATTAACTCGTTATATCGAGATAGTTATCTTGTTATAATGAGTTAGTATCTCGTTATAACGAGTTAATTATCTCGTTATAATGAGTTAGTAATTTCGCTATTACGAGTTAGTAACTCGTTATAACGAGATAATTATCTCGTTATAACGATTTAGTATCTCGTTATAACGAGTTAGTAATCTCGCTATAACGAGTTGGTTTTCTCGTTATGACGAAATAATTAACTCGTTATAACGAGATAACTAACTCGTTATAGCGAGATATTATCTCGTTATAACGAAATGACTAACTCGTTATAACGAGATACTAACTCGTTATAACGAGATACTAACTCGTTATAACGAAATACTTAATCGTTATAACGAGATAATAAATCGTTATTACGTGATAATTATCTCGTTATAACGAGTTAAATATTTTTTTTTATCTTTTCAAAAATGAGCCTATCCGGCCTTCGTTATATTTTAATACTTGATGAAAGCATACTATTTTCGATCTTAAAAAAAGCTATTTAAGCCCTAAAACGAAAGGTTACAGCAATTCAAAAATACCATTAGTCATGGTTACACAGTTCAACCTTGCCATTTGTAATACCAAAAGGAAATTACTCAAACGCTTGCACATTCTATTGCAAAATCCTTAAAAATTAAAAAGGCCGTAATTCCGTTAAAAATCATCTAAATATATAAAATAAAATATACCTTTGTTTCCCCTAACGCGACCGACCCACTTAAATCGTGCCGACTGAAAAGTTTTTTTTCAATAAGATTGTTTAAATATTTTTTTTTTATTGCTTATCAACTTTATGAAATAAAATTTCATCAAAATTCGTTTTTTATCAGAACGGTTGCTTTTGTTTTACTCTCAATTGGTGCCCACAACACGTGGCCACAGAGGGTTAGTTCTGCCTCATGAGCAGATGAGTGACCCATCTTGTGTATGCATATCAATAAATTTCACTGCAATTCATTCGTTTCGATCTAATAAACAGTTCATAGTTCATAAAGTCCTATTTTTACTATATAGGACCATAGGAGTTGTAAATATGTCTTTGTATGATTATTTCATCTTCATAAATATAATTCTGATGTCGTCTCGTCATTCCTTTTATCTATGGGGTATTAACTTCGTGACTTTAACATTAGATATATGAAACTTGAATCATTTTAGATATGGTTTGATTGATTTAAATATTGTTTATACACTCTTTCCAATTAGTGTTGAAATCTTTAAAATTTGCTTATGGTACGGCTTCCTGATATGTCCAGTGTATTTTTCTTTAGTTTTGCCCTTGAAAACAGGTTGTTTCTTTGCTTCAAAATACCTTTAAAATTGTTGGGCCGGTGGAGGCTACTAATTTAGACTTTTACTCGGCACTTATGGCCATTGATCATTAAGCATCAATAAGGGATCTTTTTCGTGCAAAAATCTACATGTATACTGCGACACTGGACCTGCGTTTTTTACGGTCTTATTCGACTGACCAGTCTCCACGTCCCTCTTCGAGACCTGTGACTTAGAATAAGCTCCTGAATTACGTCGCCACTCCAAAACGAAACACTAGAATCACTGCACCACGCGAGACCTTTGTCATTTTGTCTGTGTAAGTACTCGACGATGATAGTAGGTTTGAAAAATACACTCGGATGTCCGATGGTTGAATATTTGCGAATCTTGTGTTTTTGTAAATATTCGATTTCAATAAAATTACGCTGGCCTGAAATATTTCACAAGTTCAGATGAAAAATATTTGTGAATTAATTTACCATACATGTTGCTTCATTTGTATGATATTCGGTTTAAAACTCGGTTTCTGTTCTTCTTTCTTATTTATAAAGATATTATTCAATTTTTCAGAATGTACTTTCAAAACTGCTGTCAGAAAAAAAAAAATACCTACCTACTTACCCAACTTGAGATTTTTGGGTCGGGTTAGGGGAAACAAAGATATTTTTAATGATGGCCTAAGCAGAACGAAATGCAAACTAGATTTGTAACTCATCACGGTTCACTCATACACCAAAAAGTAGCTCAGTGTCTCAATATCTTAGCTCAATTTCTGCAAATTTCTGGAAAAAGGTGCGAAAAACCAAGAGGGATAGACAGATGGACAGACAGACAGACAGACAGAAGGACAGACGACGAGGATACATATAGTCCCCTCCGGTTTCACCAGTAGGGATCTAATAAAGTTAAGTAATTTATCCTAATCGTTTTGACTTCTTTCTTACCTTTTGTGGTTTTTGTTTCCATGCTTAAGGATTTCATTCATAAATCGGATTCTATATCATCTTTTTAAAAAAAGACGTTATATATTCCTATACAGGCCTTTGACTCCAGCTAATGTTACAAAGTTACCTCTTCTGGGGTAATAATTTGAATGACTTGTAATCAGCACCATATGTGAATGTTTTATATAACTTTTATTTTTCCTTAGCTTTTCAGGAAGAGTGCTTGTATTGATCATGTTTATAAAAATGCTGTTTTGTGGTATACCTGTTTGAGGGGCTGAAAAATTAAAATGTAATGATGCTTTTGTGAAAAGACATTTTACAGCTATCATAAATCATATAGGTATATCACACTGATAACAACTTCAAAATTAGTAATTGTATAACTTTTAAATGACCCATGCCCTATTTCAAATAACTAAGATAGCATGGCAATTCAAACTCTGCAGAAATTGTGCTACATTTGAGGAAACAATGAAGTGGAACTGGTACTTTAACTAAAACGAAGGCCTACCATTATAGAACGGGGAATCGCGATAAAACATATAGCTCAAAAAATGAAATATTTTGTAGATGTATATTAGAACCATATCTGATGGAGATGTTTACTTCTGTGGGTCACGGCCAGAGTAGTGTTAGAGCACCTGTCTATTCCTTCCATTTCGCAGGTGGGAGTGGTTACGTGTCCTTCGTCTGTAATGTTAGAATATGCAGCAAGACTTCATACAATTGTGATCTGGTATATTTTATCATTATACATACATGTACGAGGGGTGATCAAAAAGTTCGCGAACTACCTCAAAATTTACAAAACCATAATTCAGATCAGCATGAAATTTGGTACACGTATAGTCATACACATGTTCCATAAATAACAGATGTTAAATAATGTTTTTCTCCTTGTTTGTGACGTCACAAAGTGAAAATGACGTCAATATGTAGGTGACGTGACAAAAAATGGTTGACTCAGTCGTACTCGAGAAACGAACGGCTGTAAAGTTTAACGTTATATCTTTTAAATTCCTTTGCAGTAGAATATGATAATTTGTACAAAGTTTATGAAGTCGATAGACTTTACAGAAGTTCAATCATTAATTAGATTGATTATTTTAGTGAAGGCAGGGAGATGGTTAAAAAGAATGTTTGTTCTGTTGCCCAGCGAAAGCAAGTCGGGGGAAAGATGTGTCCGTAGTTGAGCAATTTGTTATGAAACATCGCCAAGTTACGATTGGAAAAATAGTTGAATTTCTTAACAATAATATAATTATTAAATCCCTAAAATATCGTTTACTTTAGACTTTAAACATATGAGATATGATAAAGAGAAGGCACCCATACTGTATCCACATTGGATAAACGACGCTCCTAATACAGAGGACTCGGGTTGTGATGGTCACCATGTTAATTCAGGGAAGGGATATCCTTGTCCACCTATCCTATTGCCGAGATTTGGCAATTTCTAACAGATGGACTGTTCTTATTATAAAAATTAACTTGCATGGTAAGAAACAAGACTCGGAAAATTTTTTAGTTTCTGTGAACAGACCGCTACGGAGCATGTCACGAGGCCGCCTTGATCACGTGATTCGCGCATGGGCAGAACAATGGCAGATGTGCATTAAAATCGGAGAGGACCACTTTAAAAGATAACAAGAATAGATATGGGTTACCCCTTATCCAAGATATTCGGCTTTTAATTTATTCGAATTTTCATTGTGCTCAGATGATTTCTAATTAAAAAAAAAACTATTTACTGATAAAACGTCAGAGATACTCAAGCTGTAGAAAGTCAACTATACAATGGCCATAAATATCCTAAAATGACATAATATTTAGACTACTGAGTTTCAACATCTTTTGTTGAATAAAATATGCATGTACTAAGGAAACTGCATGTACATATTTATGGGTCAACAAGAGTAATCAATGAACTCGTCTAGAGATGCATTGACGGCCGTTGTTAAACGCAAAGGAAAGCGCAAGATCGGTTGGGGCTGTGAACATTCCTTCGTCTTGGAATAAAATCCGACATTTAACACTTTATATAGATTTTGAATATAGAGACGTTTTGAAGATAAACTTCATTTTGTTTCTAGAAATGTTTTTAATTACAAAAATAGTATATTTTCGTGTTTTTAAACTGAGTAGATCAATGACCTAGCATCGTTTTAGATAACTCAGTCCCTCTAACCCAGTCTAGGGCTTGAGTAAAAACTCCTGCACTTGTTATGAAACTGGTGTATAGTTCTTCTTCATGTCCGTAGCAAATACTGATACCCAGTCTACATGATCTAAGCGTCACTAGCGAACGGTACACATACCTGTGCTTGCAAGATCAAATAGACTAGGTTTACACACGTGCGAAGATCCTATCCGACGAGCTCGGCAAATCACGTTGCTTTGCCGAGAAGTTACGATTGTAGGTGTTTAACCATAATAACCATTCCATTATTTTAAAAAAGAGAAGAAAAAACACACACAGTTAATGATTAACATTCTCACTCAAAAGAAAATATACGGCAATTAACGAACAATAATCATGACAGTTATATTATTGGTGAAAAGATTTATCACTATCAATCGAAGGATGACCTATATATTTTCGTGAAAAAGACTGAGGAGGCAGAGAGCGTAGGAATATGAAAAATTTTTATTTCCTTTTCTGGGGAAAAGTGATTTTCTTAAAATCTTTTTACGTTAATTTTGTTTTCTTTAACGTATTAAATATACATCATTATTCTTAACATTTGTTGTAATGTTGTATCTACTGATCATGAATAGAACTATTTTCTTCGGAGCAATTGTGTGAAGGGTACCTGACTTTAGTAATATATCTTGAATAGATAATATGCACTGATCGAATATATTAATAAACACTGAAACCTCATTTCAATTCTTTTAAGGGAGTAATTCAATTAGTTCGCGAACTTTTTGATCACCCCTCGTATTCTAAAATTAAATAAACAGAAATGAGTATGATGAAACAAGAGGCCCATGGGCCACATCGCTCACCTGAGCACATTGGCTGGGCAAAAGCACAAATCAGTTCAGTATTGAAAAGATTACCGGGAAGGGGGGGGGGGTTGAATTTTAAACTACCTGATGATGCTTCCATGTCAATATAACAAATGGCTTTGTTGTACTTGAGAAGATTTTAAAAAAAATTCCCATATATTCCTTTGTAAAAATTTGATCCCCCATTGTGGCTCCTCCCTATCCCAGAGGTCATCATTTGAACTTGAATCTACACTACCTGAGGATGCTTCCATATCAGTATGACTAAACATAGCTTTCCTGTTCTTGGGAAGAAATATTTTTTCTACATGTTTCCATATCAAAATGACTAATCATGGTTTGCAGTTCTTCAGAAGATATTTTCCTTTACATTTCTATTTAAAACTTTGATCCTCCATTGTGGCCCCATCCTACCCATGGGGGCCATGATTTGAATAAAATAGAATCTACACTACCTGAGGATGCTTCCACATAATAATACATCAACCAGGGCTTTGCTGTTCCTGAGAAGAAGATTTTTAAAATTTTTCCTATATATTTCTATGTAAAACTTTGATCCTTCATTGTGGCCCCACCCTACCCCCGGGGGTCACAATTTGAATAAATTTGAATCTACACTACCTGTGGATGCTTCCATATAAATATATACCATCTGGGCTTTGCTGTTCCTGAGAAGAAGATTTTCCTATATATTTCTATGTACAACTTTGATAGTCCATTGCAGCCCCGCCCTACCCCCGGGGGTCATGATTTGAATAAACTTGAATCTACACTACCTGAGGATGCTTCCATATAAATATGACTCATCATGGCTTTGCTGTTCTTGACAAGAAGATTTTTAAAGATTTTTCCTATATATTTCTATGTAAAACTTTGATCCTCCATTGTGGCCCCGCCCTACCCCCGGGGGTCATGATTTGAACAAACTTGAATCTACACTACCTGAGGATGCTTCCATATAAATATGACTCATCATGACTTTGTTGTTCTTGAGAAGAAGATTTTTTAAAGATTTTTCCTATATATTTCTATGTAAAACTTTGATCCTCCATTGTGGCCCTGCCCTACCCCCGGGGGTCATGATTTGAACAAACTTGAATCTACACTACCTGAGGATGCTTCCATATAAATATGACTCATCATGACTTTGTTGTTCTTGAGAAGAAGATTTTTAAAGATTTTTCCTATATATTTCTATGTAAAACTTTGATCCTCCATTGTGGCCCTGCCCTACTCCCAGGGGTCATGGTTTGAACAAATTTGAATCTACACTACCTGAGGATGCTTCCATATAAATATGGCTCATCATGGCTTTGCTGTTCTTGAGAAGAAGATTTTTAAAGATTTTTCCTATATATTTCTATGTAAAACTTTGATCCTCCATTGTGGCCCCGCCCTACCCCCGGGGGTCATGATTTGAACAAACTTGAATCTACACTACCTGAGGATGCTTCCATATAAATATGACTCAGCATGGCTTTGCTGTTCTTGACAAGAAGATTTTTAAAGATTTTTCCTATATATTTCTATGTAAAAATTTGATCCTCCATTGTGGCCCTGCCCTACCCCCGGGGGTCATGATTTGAACAAACTTGAATCTACACTACCTGAGGATGCTTCCACATGAGTTTCATCTTTCCTGGCCCTACGGTTCTTGAGAAGAAGATTTTTAAATGATGCCATTATTTTTTCACTAAACCCTAATTATCTCCCCTTGAAAGAGGGCGTGGCCCTTCATTTGAACAAACTTGAATCCCCTTTACCCAAGGATACTTTGTGGCAAGTTTGGTAGAAATTGGCCCAGTGGTTCTTGAGAAGAAGTCGAAAATGTGAAAAGTTTACAGACAGACAGACGGACAGACAGACAGACAGACAGACGGACAGACAGACGGACGCCGGACAAAATGTGATCAGAAAAGCTCACTTGAGCTTTCAGCTCAGGTGAGCTAAAAAGGTGAAGACAGCGAACAGTGATCCATCTCAAAAAATCCATGAACAATACAAATATGTCAACAAGGCATAAAACACATTCGCCTGGAAATTTCATAGTTGGGATCAGTTGCCTAGGAGAAGTAAGCAACCCTGTCGACAGGTATCATTTAGGTTTATAGTATGACATTTAACATCACCTTTAAAAGCGAAATCTGTTACCTGTTTAATCTATAGTGGATTCAATGGATTAAAGATGGGGATAATAGCACGCCAGGGTCCTACATACTATTAGAAAGGCATGAAGGACACGTGAAACATAAGTCTTGTACTATCGCATATTGCTGACCACGATTTTTGGATATAAGGCAGACATGTGTAAAGATATCACTCCTATACCAAATTCCTAATTAATTTCCTTGTACAATCACCCGCGTGTTTTCCAAGTACATTATATCCACCTTGAAATTGTCTAGCCAACTTGAAGTTAAATGTTGCTGTCCAGAAAAGTAACGATCTACTGTGTTTCCTAATTGACCATAGCTTATCACAATGATATTAGACTATTCCGATGCACTCCTAAGTGTTCTGTAACCTGGTTTTTTTTTTTCAGTTTCACCTTTAGTTATTTTAGAACTGAAATTATTATTTGGCCATTTCGTAGGTAGCTCTTCAATAAACAAGAAAACATTATCAAATAGGTCAGAGATGCATCACTCTCCATTTTCAGAATACATGTAAGTCAAAGAGATCTCTGCGTGATGTAGATGACCATGGCGCACATTCACACGAGGTTTCTGTCACTGTTCAAGTCGGCCCTGCATCAGGTACTAGCTATAGATAACGTTTCAAGAATTTAAACGTAGTATTTTAAACTTTCGGAGTACAGCCTTTTCAGTCTGATTTTCAGTTTACAATAAAAATCTTTTATCTTTTCAGGAGGGCGAAAACTGTTATTGACGCCAGTTCTTTTCATGCTTCTTACTTGTGTCAATTTTATTCTGAATTGAAGACTATAGGACATAAATGGATTATTGTAGCTAAATGAACACGTCAAAGAACTTTGCAAAGTCGTCTACTAAAGTGTTAAAGGAAAAGATATAATAAATTATAATAAAAAATATATACTTCCTTTAAATGTGTATTGTATGTAATTTTTTTTTAAATATAGTGCCCTTATTTTGTAATCAGAGGCCCGTTTCATCAAAGATCGTGCGCCCAGTCGTAGCGCTACGCCGGCGTAAAGTCGGTACTAGCACCAAGCTTTGCGTTTCATTAAATAGCGTATCTTTACACCGGACTAAAGTAAGGCCAAATTTTACGTCTACTCATGGGTAGGCGTAAGTTCGGGTGTAAAAATAAAATAAAGCGAGTTTACTGATTTCAAAAAGATTTAGCCATTCCTTAAGAAGAATTACTGCTCTTAGAAGTCTTTTTAATACATACGATGCATTATTTGATTAAAAAAATTATGAAGATTTGGGGGAACAGAAACGAGGGGGGGGGGAGGTTAAACCCACTCGGGAGGTAGTTGACATGCAGTATTTACATAACTTAATTTAATAAATTTCTTCATGAAAGATTGCCTTATTTGGGGTTCATTTTAACACCATCTCTTAAGTTTTGACAATCCTGCATTTATACACATTTGATTGTTGCATTTTGAGTATGAGGTATTATAAATTGACTATACAATATACATTTTGTGTCATTCACTGAAAAAGAACCTATTAAAAATTCCTGAAAAAAAAACTTTTTTCCCAACAATTTCTTTTTATTGAAAAAAGTAATTTTTCCACAAAAGCACAGTTATCTTCTTTAGCTTTGGTTAATATCTATATTAAAAAAAATAATTTCTTAACTCATCGTAAAACCAAGTAGGCTTTTTAAAAGAAATGAACGTGCTCGGAAACTCCATTTTTTATTTACTCCACGTCCACATGCGTGGATCTAGAAGGGAGTAGGGGGTCCAGTACCCTTCGCCGCAATTTGCGGAGTTATTTATGTACCAACCTAGAGTAAAGTAAGTAAAAAATGAAAATGACCTTGAACTCCTGTTAAAGAGTTAAGTTAGTGGTTGATATGAAGAACCATATTTATGAAGTTTATGAATTGAAGGGAAGGACCCCCCCCCCCCCCCCAAAAAAAAAAAAGATTTTCAGGTTTGGGAAAGAAAATCACGTGTCAACAAGTTTCTCAGATGGAATTTTTGTTTACTGATTACCACCCACCCCATTGAAAAAAAAAATCACGACCCGAGCCTGCGTCCAGAAAAAGTTAACGTTCAAAGACGAAAAGATTCCAATAATTCGTGAATATACTTGAAAGTCAATATATCCTAATATTGAATACAAATGAAAGATGATTGACCTTAGGGATGTATTAAAAATAAAAGGCATAATAACGCCTTTTTGAAAAGCGTAATAACATCTTTTATAAAAATATGAAAGTTCATCCTCAAAGTTTGCGTAAAAATATTAATGTACATCTTTGTTAAACAAAACCATGAAGCAGAAACCCACTATACCTTAAAAATACACCTATCCGAGAGACCTTGAAGTTAATTTAGTCAAGGGTTATATCACAAACATGACTTAAATGCTACTATTCATCAAGAGTTTTGTAGATGTTAGCGTTTAAGTCTCAAAGGAAAATGATACCAAAGATTTTTATTGCTATGAGTTCGAACCCCACGAATATCACATTATTATTTTAATAATGGAATAATTTTTGCCGGGAAAATTTTCCTCAGAAAAGTTTTGTTTATCAAAATTTCATTAATTTCAATAATAAGAACTTCACTCTACATACTAAATTCACAATTTGAATATGATTTTTTATATATCTTAAAATATAAGCATTCTGTACGCCTTTTTCACCCCTCTCATTTTGGTATAAAATATTGAAAGTCAATATTTACCCGCATAGTTTTATCTTGTTGATATCAAAACTGTCGTACAACAACCATATCCATGTATGTGACCCGCCTACACTGAAAACTTTGACTTCAAAAACCGCCAAAGAGGTCCATTTAATCGACCAGTCCAATATCGTCAACCAGTCCAAAATCGAATTTTTCATTTTTCATAGTGAAATATAAATAATATTAGACTTTTAAGTATAGGTAAATTTATAGCTCAAGTCTGTATGTTTTAGTGATCGCTTTTATACTTTTTGATAATGTCAAATATAACATTAAACTATGGTAGAAGGCAGAGGACAACAATGTTTAACATTATCAAAAAGTATAAAAGAGAGCGCTAGAACATAGAGACTTGAGCAAATCTAGCAGATTTATGAAGGAACAATTTTTAAAGAACTAAAAACAATGCCTATCTAATCCATATCAACTTATTATGTGATTACAAAATAAATCAGTAAAATATCTACGTTGTGAAAAAAAACAACAGATAAATAGATAGCAATAATTTGGCGTTTGTTTTAGTCATGCACATATATTGCATGCATTGATTATTTGAATCTACCTATTACTCTCTCAAAATTAATTTCTTTCTTGCAAGCACGAAAAATCTTCGCTAGCAAAGGGTTTCCAGTTCACTCATGGATGACAAATTTGATTCTCACAAAGGAATTTCAAAGCCCCCCCCCCTCCAAAATATATAACTGAAATCTATAAATACAACGTTCAAAAATTATGATTTAACGTTTTATAAAGGGTATCATATTAACTTCTGTATTTCTTGTATTTCAGTACATTGATAACTTAGGAAATATGACCTCTTTGCCTCTACACATTTCTTAAGTCATCAATACATTGATGACTTAAGAAATGTGTAAAAGGCAAAGGGGTCATATTTCGACGTCGAATGTCGGGAGACATATTTTAACGTCGACGAAAAATTACCCCTGGTCTTTATTCTATGGGGACCTCATCTTTACACCGGTTATTGACTCCCCCTGGATGATACCAGCCCATCGTAGTTCACTCCCAGTGTAAGCTGGTACTCAATTTATCTGAACAGACTGAGACAATGCGGAAATGACACAACAAATAGCATCAAATGCCCAAAACGGGATTTGAACCAGTTTCCTTTCGGTTACTGGCCAAACAACTACGTGTAAGACCCCCGAACTATGTGCTCAAGTCATGATGGGTACAAGTGGGTATGAAAGTTTAACGAATATAAAATTAAAAGAAAAATGGGTAACTAGAAATAGAAGAATGGGAGATGGAAAGGCAAATTTATAATAACTCAGTAAATTTGTCATTTAATTCACAAATAATCCAATGATTAAAAAGAATCAAAGTGTTTTAATTCTGAATAGAAATTTAAAAAAAACTTCTTGCAATTATTTTTTTCAAAATTATATTTCAACTAGAATGATTCAAAGCCCCAGAGACACATACATATAACTTTTGCAAGAATAGTTAACTTTTTTATTTATTTAGAAATATACCATCACATCACCTACATATGGAGTCTATATCCTCCAGTTGATTTGTCACTCAGAGCATGTCTTGTATACGAACAATTTCTCAAACGAGACAAACTATCGACAAATGAGTGGATAATACAGGGATATCAATATACCCTTATCACCTGTATATGGGGTTTATATATTCCAGTTGATTTGATACGCAATTAAGAGCATGTTCCACGTAAAAAAAAATTCTAAAACGAGGCAAACTATAGATATTTACAAGTTGATGAAACAAGGATATCAACGGTCTCGTTTAAAGTCATCATTTCGCAAGTTCTTTGGCAGATACAATGACCTTGTCAGCAAAAAAAATTATCATTAAAACGATTGCTGATTGACGTTTTTCATACTCACTGTTAGCTCATAATTTACACACTGAATTGTCTACAGAATTTTCCTTTTTTTTCCCGATAGCTGCAGGTGTGACCGGTCGGCAGGGGTGCTCACTCTTCCATGGCACCTGATCCCACTTCTGATGTTTTAGAGGTCCGTGTTTGCTCTGTTCCTTATTTATTGTTTGAATAGACTTGAACTTGAATACTGTTCGTTTCCTCCAATGTTCACAGTGTACACTATGACCTTGTTAGTCAATACAATTTATTGTTAAGTCGTATGTTGACTCAAGTTATATTCTTATAAATTGTTAGGTCATTATTTTCACACAATCAACCATCGACGATTTTTTACCATTTACCCTCTCATGACATGGAGCACATTGTGGTTGTGATCGGTCACCAAGGGATGCTTATTCCTCTATGGCATCCGATCCCAACCTCTGTTTTCAGAGGTCAATGTTGCCTCTGTTCGCTACTTGTATACATGTATTTGTTTGATAGATATCCCATAAATCTTAAAGTTTCTATCAGATTTAAATAACTAGAATTAGTGTTTGACACTAGATATTTATGATATTAATTGTTTTAAGAGATTCACCTTACTAAGTAAAAATACAATATGAAGTGGAATCTCAAACTGAAATCTGCTTCAGTTTAATTTTTAGTAAAAAAGAAAATAAATTGATTGCATTGAACGATTTTTTAGAACTGTTTCTATTCCTAATGAATTCTAATGTAAACCTCAATATTGCTGTCACTATCAGTAGGAATGCTCTCATTTTTATCGTATTGATCTCATAAGCTTGATTTACTTTACAGTAATAAGTAGAGATGTCAACGAATACTCGAGTACTCGACTGTTGTTCGATCATACGGACTAAAAAAATTTTACTCGGTTATTCGTTACAAATTTGCTATTTAATACTAATCTTAAATTCAAAGTAAAAAAACTGGATCCGCCCAACTCATTTATTAATGGATCAGTGTTCTCGTTTGTTTAAATCAGGGTAAGGCTAATAACCGGTCTTAGTTAATTCTTCAAATTAAATTATTAGCGTATCGATTT